TGCCCAGTGGACCCATGAACAAATAAACCATCATGGTGGAGATAAAGGTTATGTGTGGGCTCAACAACATGGACTTCCACTCACCAAAACTGGTTTGGCTTGGGCTACTGCTGAATGTCAGATCTGCCAGCAGCAGACACCAAAACAGAGCCCCCACTATGGCACCATTCTGGAGGGCACCCAGCTAGCAAGTTGGTGGCAGATTGACTATCCTGAACCACTTCCATCACTGAAAGGATAGTGTATTGTCCTTACTGGAATAGATACTTATTCTGGTTATAGATTTGCCTTTCCTGCACATAATACCTCTGTCAAAGCTACTATATATGGACTTACGAAATGTTTGGTCCACCAACACAGTATTCCACACAGTACTGTTTCTGACCCAGCAAAAGAGCATGGTGGTGTCTCATGGTAATGTAATTCACTGGTCTTACCACGTTCTTTACTATCCTGAAGCAGATGACTTGACAGAACAGTGTGATAATCCTTTAAAGTTACAATTTTAGCAGCAATTAGGTGTCTAGAGCCTGGAGGGCTGAGACAGACAGGGTTTTCCTTTGAATCAGTGGCTAATATATGGTACCTTTTCACCTATAACAAAGATTCACTAGTACGAGAATCAGGGTGTGGAAATGGGAATGGTTCCACTCATTATCACCCCTATTAGTCCACTTATTTAAAAAAAAAGAAAGTTTCCTGTTCCAGTGACCTTTTATGCTTTGGTAGTCTAGGTATTTTGTTTTCAAAGGTGAGGTGTTTCTGCCAGGAGGTACAACAAACTGAAGTTCAGACCTTCCCTTGGCCACTTTGGGCTTCTTATGCCCTAAGCCAAGAGGCTAACAAAACAGTGTGAGAATGGGTGATTGATCCAGACTACTAGGGGGAAATTGGATTGCTTCTCCACGATGGAGGTATGAAAAATTATGTCTGAACTGCAAGGCATACTTTAGGGCATCTCTCGGTACTACCATGTACTGTGATTGAAGTCAATGGGAAACTCCAACAGTCTAATACAAGCAGGATGACAGAGGGCACAGACCCTTCAGGAATGAAGGTATGCGTCACTGCTCCAAGAAAAGAGTCAAGACCTGCTGAGGTGCTTGCTGAGGGTGGAGGAAATACAGAATGAGCAGTAAAGGAAGGTGGTTATAATAACCAGCTAAAGCCACATGGCCAGTGGTAGGAAAGAGAAACGCAACTGACATGTTTCTCTGCTGTGTACTCTGTTTAAAAAAAAATCACAAGCATATGTGCATTTATGCACGTAAACTAAGCAGATTTTCCTGTTGTCTGTCCTTTGTTTCTTTACCATGCAGTGTAATATAAGTTGAGATATATTAGTGGTTAAGTGTTGTGAATCAAAACATATGAGACACTAAAAGACTCTAGTTCCTCAAGGACTTTGATACCTACTTAAAACACATAGTACATTTGTGGTTGTATGCAAGATGGTTTATATTATGGCAAGTAGAATTCTGATTTTGTCTATTTTTGTTTTTGTTACTTTATTTTCATTTGGAAATTAAGCATGACACAAGGAGATGTGATGGGTGTCAAGATGACAAGGAGTAGACTTTTGATGGCTAATCCAGGTTGCCAACTTAACTGGATCAACTAAATCGCAAGCCACTGGACACTCTGGTTAGGGATTTTCTTAATGAGGTTATCTGAAACAGAAAGACTCGCCCTGAATGTGGGCCACACCTTCCGGTGACAGCTCACATTAAAAAAAAAAAAATGGAAGAAGGAAGTTTTGCTTTTGGCGTGCTGGCCTCGCTGTTGCTGTTCATCTGTCCTGTTGGTGCAGCACTTCTACAGGTTTCCAGTACAGATTGAAGACAAGCAACTCTCCAGCAGGTCACTAGACCTTCATTGCCAAATGGAAACTACTGAAACACCCAGCACTGTGAACTAAATGACTACTGGATTCCCAGCCTCTCCAGTGTGAGAAAGCTTCTGTTGGGAACTGTATTGTGTTGGGCATGTAAATAAATCCCCTCTGCATTCTCATTCTCTCTTTCTCTCATTCTCTCTCTCTCTCTCTCATTCTCTCTCTCTCTCTCTCTCTCTCTCTCTCTCTCTCTCTCTCTCTCTCTCTCTCTCTCTCTCTCTCATCTAGGGAACCCTAACAGATATAAACTATGGTCTCAGAAGTTGTGGTCCTAAGAAACAGAACTATAAGGATGAATTTCTCTAGTAGGTTAGTGGTATCAGAAGCTGCCTCTCCAACTCTATGAAACCTATGGTTACTAAAAATCCCCTGGTAGCTTGGAGAGTAGTGAAAGTCCGTGCTGAGAACTAATTTAAAGAATAATGCAAAATAAATGCATTTGTTACCCTAGATTTACCTCTTGAGAGGAACAAACAATTTAGTGACTGTACATAAGTTTTGAGCATAAGGAAAATAATGGTGCTAGCTGGTTTCTTCTGGCATCTTCCCATAAAGTGACAAAGGAAAAGTATGAGCTCAGTGATGAAATGAACAGGATACAGATTCACACAGTCTCAGGGTACCTGAGTATGTCCTGGGACCTTCTCTCCAGTGGCCGGAGAGCACAAGTCACTGAAAACCAAATCCACATCCTCATTATACAATTGGCTGCTTTCTAAGGCAATTAAGACCCAGCTTCAAAGGGTGCTGGTAGATAAAGTGAGGGTACTACTTCAAACAGTGGGATCAGTGGGATCCTATAACATAGGATGGGCATGTGTGTGAACTCTAGTGAAACTGAGGAAATGGAAATAAGATTCTAAAGGTTTGTTCTGCCTGAAGAAATAGTCTTTAGCAGAGGATGCAGCCCCACCTCACTCACTGAAGAAATATCCTCTCTGGTCTGGCCTGAGGGAATCAGTACTTTGAGACAGGGTCTCGGGAACTGCAGGGTCATCTCAAACTTGTTAAGTAGCCAAGGGTGATCTTGATCATCTGAGATTACAGACGTTCACCACCATGTCTAGCTTAAGGGGTGCTGGAGATAAAACCAAGAAGTCTGAGCAAGCTACTCAAGCATTCTCCTAAGCTGCATCCTCAACCCTGAATTGCAAATAGAGTTTTCTAGTTACAACTCTTGATAAATCCTTAAACCTATGAAGTCAAAAGCAATTCTTTGTCAGCAAAGAAAACACTGATTTTGAAGCTATTTCTCACTTAGGAATGTTGTATCCATTAGCATTCTACTTAGAAACTTATTTTAGGAATCATCACATGAAACTATAAACAACAATTATACTTACTAAAACTTCAAACTTTTTCTATCACTAAAGAATGTATACATATATCATCATCTGATTTATAGAAGACTACAAAGCCAAAAATACGGTTTGCTAATCATATGATTTAGATATGCAAAGTCTTTACTGATCAGATCCGGTGTGCCTTGTTCCTGGTTCTCTGTCATCACACAGGTAAGAGTACATGGTTTCCACTTGATGACGAATGACAAATCGTCCCCTAAAGTCTAAGCACCAACTATCTCAATCTAATGGACTTTGACTACACCCTGCTTAGTTACAGCAGAGCGCAAACTATGGACAGCAGAAAGAGAGAGAATAAGAAAAATACATTACAGCAGTGGATTTCTAGCATTGTGGTTGGGAAAGCATCAGGAATTCTTCAGGTCCCGGAAAGTCGCTGTCAGCTTCAGAACTGAACTAACAACAAATTCACCACAAATTTAGGACCCCTCTCAGTAACTCAAAAGAGAACTGGCTAAATGAGAACCCCAAATGGGAGAAATGGCACCCAAGAAAACCCCCACCAAACTGCAAACAGGCCTAAAAGATCTCAATTTTTTTTTGACACAATATGTTCCTGGTTCATGGTAGCTACAAAAGACAGACCCAGCTGTGTCAAGTTTTGATAAGCTGGGCCTCCTCGGACTTCTCAATATTTGTACCTGAAATGTTTGTTCTTCTTGAGATTTCAAGAAATGACGTAGGGATTTTATCCAGTTCAGAGCAAGCGTGATACCAACTACCAGAAATGCGGGCTTGAGCAAGCTCAAGTGCTCGCCAGCTCAGTCCAGCAATAACATGGACAGAGAGTGGGGCAGAGCATCAGTCACGGTGAGTGTCCCAACACCGTGTGGCCTGGCCTCTAGCCTTCTAAAGTGGCCTGGCTGGTTTAATGCCCTGTCTGAACACTGGAGTGTGATGAGGACACGGGGCTATCTACAGCTACCTCAGCACAGCTGTGGTGCTACCACCGAGCCTGTGGCTGGGAGGCCTTACGCAATTCCAGTTCAAGCCAAGCACAACAGGAGGTGTGGGCAAGAAACTGTCTCAGCCCAGCCACTCCCATCATCTCACTACAATAAAAAAATCTGCTGACTTCCATATGCGGAACCCAACTCCCAGTCACACATTTTTACCATGCTAGGAGCTACTCTCCTCCCCGTTCCCTCCACACAGTCAGCAAGCATAAACTGGCATGGGCTGCTATGATTGACAAGAAAGTACAAGACTACCAAAGGCACCAGGAGGGCAGTTTTGTGAGAGGGAAGCACACATATCACAAACAGAAATGCTTGGAGCATACACACCCCTCTTTTCTAGCAAGACAGTGGCTCAAGCTGGCCAGTCATCACACTGGACCATCACTGAGCCAGCACTGAAACCAGAACTAGGAGACGCCACATATTCTACAAGATCAGAAACAAGATCTTCATGACAGACCTGTGCTGCCAAGGGAGAGCTTCTGCTTGGCAAGAATAAGGGGCAGATGGCAAAGAATATTTGCTGCATTTCCACTGTAAAAGCTGCCATGTAAAAGTTCTTAAAAGTAAGTATTAAATCCCCAGTATGAGGAGAGGCATTACAGTCTGGCCTCTGGACAGTGAAGTTCTTCAAATCTGCTGTGACACAGATCAGAAAGAAGTGGGTGGCCCATGTGGCTTTTCATCTAGTTTCCAGCACAGAAGGGAAGGGCTCCTCCCCACCACTCTCCTCTCATCCTGGAAAACTGCCTTTAGAACAGATTGCCCCATCCAGGAACTCACTCTGTCTTTGTCATCAGCAACATCGCAGAGGATGTCATCCAGGTCTAGAATCCCTCCGTCTCCATGCTCCAAGCGATGCACCTGTATCCAGTAGTTTGGATCCTGAACAAAAGAACAGAAATGTCAAATATGTTAGCACCACCAACTCTAATAAACTCCTGATCATTAAAGGGACTATCAATAATATTAAAACTGATTGAAATTTCAGGTAGGGCTTAGTGCATGGTAGAATCAGTTTTCCACTTCCTCTATGACTAGGTCACTCACATATACTCTTCCCCTTGGCTCCATGTCAATATTGTGACAGGAAAACTCATGGCCAAGATACTGATTTCTCTAAAGTAGATCAGACTTTCCATTGTCTGACATACAAAGTATGCAAGACCCCAGCAAGGCAATCTATAGAAACATGTTACTAAGTGGCATACATTGTGAATTTGAAATCTTCAGATAGCATATTGTATACGCATGCTGGAGAGTCAATGTACTCCTTTCAAACAGGCCTGAACAAATGGACAGAGAGGCTGACAAGCCAACACATGGACCAATAAGGCTGTGTTGTGAGCCTATGCTCAAAAAGATCAAACCCGACCCACATTTACATGTGCATAATGAACTATTTAAAGCAATCCATCAAAATATGCAGGTCCTGCTGCTCAAAAACAAACTTAAAGAGAAAGGAGGAAAAAAGATCTCACTTAAAAAATTTTAAATATAAACCAGGAGGTTGTGGCACATGCCTTCAATTCCAGCAGTCAGGAGGCAGAGGCGGGTGGATCTCTGAGTTTGAATTCAGACTAATCTACCAACCAAGTTCCTGAACAGTCACAGCTACACAGAGAAACCCTACCTCAAACAAGCAAACAAACAAATAAGTAGGCAAGCAAATAAATAAATGCTCCTATGTGGTATATTTAAACACACACACACACACACACACACACACACACACTTTGTAATTTGGGAAGTAATTTGAGAAGGACACAGTTGTTATTGAACTCCACAATAACCCTGATGTATATGCTCATAAGAAAATACAGGAAACTATGTTGCTGTCGTGAACTAATTTCCCAAAAAACACAGAAATGCTACCCAATAGTTGTATAAACGCTGTTTTTTTCCTAAGAAAGGATATTTGATATAGTCCTATCTTGAAAACAAAAGATGATTGTTAGCTTAAACACAGATTCCACCAGATCTATGAGCCAAGATGATGCAAGGTAGTGGCAAAGGTCAGCATTCTCTGGATACTGCCCAAACCCATCTCTAACACAGGCATGCCTTAGGTCCACTAATACACAATACATGTCACAGAAATGGAGAATTACTCTCTGTCATTGTTTAGACAGCAAGACAAGCAGCTCAGGCCTTATTAGTCAATACTATAACCAGGACGGTGCACACTGCCTCAGCTAATGAGACTTCTGTAAAAGGAATTGTTCATCTAGAAAACACACACCACAGAGATACATACACACAAGATACATACACAAACATACACAGACATATACACACACACACCACACACTATTGTGGTTAGAGTTCCTAGTAATGTGATAAAACACCATGACAAAAAAGCAGCTTAGGGGGGGAGAATATATACCACTCACCTGTATATTCTGAGACACAGTCTATTAAAGAACCTGGAGCTAAGAAACTAAATCAAAAGACATGAAAGAGTACTATTTATTGACTACTGGCTTGCTTTCCGTGGCTTGCTCAGCCTGCTTTCTTATATCATCCAAGATCATCAGCCCAGCAATGGACTGCCCCCAGGGAGCTAGGCCCACTCATATCAATCACTAGTGAAGAAAACACACTATATACTTGCCTACAGGCAAATTATAGAGGTATTTTCTCAATTGAAAGTCCCTCTTCCAAAATTACTATAGCTTATGTCAAGTTGACATAAAACTAACCAACACACAAACCAAAATACAAACACACACATACACACTGCACTACATATACATATATACATGCATACACAAACACACACACACACCACAGATACATACAGAGATACATACAAACACATATATGCATGCACAAGACATACAGACACACATACATACACACACAAACACCTTGGAAGTTTCTTCATCTATATGGCTTAACTGATCCACATGGTTCCTTAATTTTAATGTCAACCCCAGTATGCTTTTAAGACCACCATTTGGAGTATTTCAGAATTTATTGTTTCTACATTTGTTTATCAGCCCCAAGACAAACCACAATCCACATTCCACAATCCAAATCTTCTTATCAAATGGTATATTAACCAATCTAGGGAAACTTAAGTAAGTAATGCCCTGTGGTGAATAAGGAATAGGAACCCCTCAGCTCTCGCCTGGCCAGTTAGAACACATTCACTCTGCCCACCGCCACTCACCCACACCCAACAAGCGCTAGCATGAACAAATTAACTTCTACTTAAAACATTTCTACACACACAAGCAGATGGCCCTCCAGACAGTTTACTGAGCCTGCTCTTCACAGACCTATGTCCTTCTGAATTAGCACCTGTGAGCTTCACAGGCATTGGAGCCAGTCCTAAAGAGGAAGTCTTACCCGAGCATTTGCTAAACCTCTTGCCTTTATCCTTTCCTGTCTGTTCCCCAACACCTCCCTGTCCCAGCCCACCATGTGTGGAACCCACACAGCACTAGCATCTACATTCAGGACTCCTACCTTCTCCCAGCTCCCCTGTCTACCTGCCATGTCTTCTTGGACCTCATTTTGTCCAGGAAACCTGTGGAACCATCATGCCCACCAGACAGACAAGAAAATTTGCAAGTGCTAAACACAAGGTTCTCATCCTCTAGTTGATAAATCAATTGTGCAATCATCTTAACCACAGATGTTTTCTAAATAATTATTTGGGGGGGGGGTTCTGTCAAATGGCATGCTTTTAAGAACTTGAGTTGGGTTGCCAGAACCAGGTAAAAAAGCACATGTGTACCGATCAAAATGCAGAGTTGTGGAACCCCGTCACAACAGATATATCTACAAGACATTTGCATACCTAAGGCAAGGAGAACATTGCCAAAGAGGGAGTGGAAAGCTTGTAAGAGTCAGGTATCAGGGAGTTTGCTGTGAGAATATGTCTCCTAGTAATTAATACATACTAATGGGGCAAGTACAACAAGGCAACACACACACACATACACACACACACACACATACACACACGCACACAGCATTTTTTGAAAAGCACCATGTGTGTTGGCACATCCTTGTAATCCCAGCACTGGCATCGAGGAGACTAGAGAATCCTTGGGCTATAAAGGCAGTCAGTCTAGCCTAGACAGTGAACTACGAGGCAATGAACAACCCTGCACAAAGCATATGAACAGCATTCTTAAGAATAACATGTGGGGTAGTCCTCCAGCCTCCGAATACATACATGACACATCACAGGGACATGCACACACTTACATGAACACACAAACATTTTTACATAATCAATGTGCTTGTTGATTCGGGCTGATTTCCCACAGTCCCACGGCACTCTGGCATCCTCCCACCACACTACCAAAGATGCTCTTAAAGTCAGCAGCAGCTTCTGCACTGCTACATGCAAGTGGCCCTTTCTCAGTCCTTGGTCTACCAGCAAAATCTGATGCTGCCAATCACTATCCCTTCTCTAAAATATCCCACAATTTTTTGCATCCTCCAATAACTTGAGCATTGTTTCCTGAACTTGAGACTTGTGGACTCCATATCAGGAGGGGCCCTGATTCAACAGTTAGACATGCCACATGGTTTGTGACACGTATCCAGCTGTTATGTGAGCAATGAAGTGATTTTCAGAGGTGGGGAATGAGCACATGACTGGCTCTCCCTATGGAGTACACCTCATTAAAAACCAAAGGTAAGAAGGGATCTGGAATGGCCTCTCTCCACAGCATGAAGCCCAGGAAGGGTTTTATTCTTGCTGCTGCTGGTGGTGCTGCTGCTGGTGCTGGGGCTGTTGGCGGTGGTGTGGCAGTGGTGTGGTGGTTTAGTTTTCTTTTTACTTCAGAGCATCACTCTATTCACCCCTGGCTTGTCTGGAACTATGACTTGAATTTGTGATGCTCTGCATCAGTTTCCTGACTCTTGGGTATATAAACTCTCTCCTATTGCTAATCCATAACCCTCCCATTTCATCTTCCACCTATCCTGCTTTCTCAAGTTTTCAACATTTTTACTCTTCGTGTACCTTACAGTCTCCATTTTCTTCATCCCTGATATTTTCTTTTATTAAAGTCATCTTTTAAAACTTTCCAATAAATATCCTCCCTGCTCCCACCATTCCTGCTGTTTTTACGGTTGTAGGTGTCAAAGCTGATATCCGGTTTTACTGTATCTGACTCATTGCTCAGAGCAGTCATTACTGCTACTTTTTCCCACTTCTGTGCAGCACTGAGTGTGCCTGAGACACTCTGCATTGTCACTGAAGTGCACTACCAGGCCAGAAAGACGCAGCTCTACACACAACACATCCTTGCTCAAACGTACAAGTAATACTTTACCACAAGAATGGGGGAAATAAAAACACCAACATGTGAGTTAAAAACCAAGCAGGCAAGACCTGGGCCTGAAAAGCCCACTCCTGGGCATTCACTCCTATTGCAGAGAGAGGCCAGCAATGGACACCACTGTCATGAGGAACTATGGCACAAGTACCTTTTCAGACCACACATCAACAAAGACTAGAGGAGTAACAATTAAGGGTTTATCATATATGGCAGTGTTCACACTTCCCTGGACTACTATAAATGCCACCTGTTCCTGTAAGAAAGACCTACAGAAAACACAGGAGCCTCAGGCCCCAGCATAACATGCAATGGGTCAAAATACAAGAACCACCACCAAAATAATGGGTAACTACATAACAAAATACCATTGGAATACACCCAACATTTCACAACAATTCACTATCCTAGAAGCCACTGCTAATAGAGACCATTCCCTGGGTAAGAGCTCAGTTGATAGAGTGCCTGCTAGCAAGAATGAAGCCCTGAATTCTATCCCCAGCACCACATAAAAGCCGGTGTGGTGGCATATGCCTATAAACCCAGCACTCCTGAGGTGAAGGTAGAAGGATGGGAGGAAGG